TGGGAGTCTGTCAGACAGGAAATAAGAAACAGCTCGATCAGACAAATACCTGCTGGGCATGCCTCTCTGCCAGAGGCATTTTCAGCCATATACATTCAAGATAGATGGTAGTTTTAGACATTGTTTGATGTGGGACAGTTTCTATCTACAGAAATAATTAAATAAAAAATATTAACATAGCTATGAAATAATTCTCTTACATGCAAGCCATATGTATTAGACTTAGAGGTAGCCTCAAAGTTAAATTACTCTCTCCTTTATCATAGATATTCCCATATCTTTAATTCCTCATAATTCTAATAAAAACATGCACAGAACTTGATTTCAGAACCCACATTCATTACTAATGCATAAGTTAAGCTTGCACATGTAACTGCAAGATTGAGTTAAATAATGATAATGGAGTTTTGTGTGTATAAACCTACCACACTATGAAACTCTGCTCCTGGCATTGCAAATGGAAATTTTCAGCTGAAATGATCACTTGCCCTTGGCGTGGTAACTAACTGTTACATTTTTCATTTGTTTTGGTTTTCTTTTTTCCTTTCAGAACAACCATTTTTCTGACTTTCTGGACAAAAAAACTGGTTACACAACAATCAATATGCTGGCAACCCCAATTGTGCAGGGTAAAGAGGTGCTTGCTGTTGTGATGGCACTCAACAAATTAAATGCCACTGAGTTCTCAAAAGAGGATGAAGAGGTAATCACCTCAAATGTCACACAACAGTGCAGTTGTTAGTTCAACAAGTAGTTTGGGTGAATTTCGTGTTTTGCCTTATTTTTGCATTTTCTTGTTTTTAGGTTTTTAAAAAATACCTCAATTTTATATCCTTGGTCCTAAGAAATCACCATACAACATACCTCTACAATATTGAATCTCGAAGAAGTCAGGTAGAGAATATTTTATTAATGATAATACTTGGGTTTTGTGTGAAACAATTATTATTTCCACTATTTTATGTTCTTGCAAGCTTATCAAAGTAAGGATAGTGTCTATTTAATTTTTTTTATTTAATAACAGTAATGCACCTTATCGTTTTATTCTAGAATGCCTAGGAATCATATGCTTATGTTTACTTATCATTGTTAACATTTACTCTCTTTCTCTTTTGTTGCAAATAGATGCTTTTGTGGTCTGCCAACAAAGTATTTGAAGAGCTAACAGACATAGAACGGCAGTTTCACAAAGCACTGTATACTATTCGAATGTATTTGAATTGTGAAAGATACTCTGTTGGTCTGCTGGACATGACTAAAGAGAAGGTAACAAACATTTTGCCTACTTGCTAGAAATGTGCTACTACTAACTTTAAGCTATAAAATCCATCTTTCTAATTCATTTGTTCTGCATATTTCTAGTGCACTTCTCTCCAAGGCAGAAAGTTACCATGCTCTCCAACCCTTTGAGATAATTTCTATAAAATCTAATCACATCACAAAAATGACACGCAAAACATAAGCATGGCAAAGGATACAACCATGATAAACAAACAGGCTAATTCTGAAATAATTTTAACAATTCCATGTGAGAAAGGGTAGAAGAGAGAAGTGCAGGTCTTATTATTCCTTTATAAATACCTGCCTTTTAAAACAACAATTAAGATGTACAACTTTCCAGAGATAAACTTCAGATTAGCCTGTAATTTACTGCCAAACATTTCTTGCCTGGTATATATTTAACAGTGTTTTCTTAATATTGTTTTAAATGTGACCTTAGTACAGCTATGGAGAAAGAAAATTAAAATTGCTATCTGCAGATGTCATGTTATCTATGAACAACCTGTGTGTCATTTTCTCAGGAGTTTTATGACGAGTGGCCAATCCGGCTGGGGGAAGCAGAGCCTTACAAAGGCCCCAAGACACCTGATGGACGAGTGAGGATATTCATTTTTCTATTTATGAATCTGAATTTTAAAAATTGAGGTTGTACATGTCACTTACATGTTTTCCTCTTTTTATTTAGGAAGTCAACTTTTATAAGATTATTGACTATATTTTACATGGAAAAGAAGAAATCAAAGTCATTCCGTGAGTATTCCTTAGCAGCCTGTGAATGCATGGTAATTAGATATATTGCTGGGATAGATTAGTAACGTCTATATTGCAGAAATCATTTAATCTCATTCTCTCTCTAAAGGTCACCTCCAGCAGATCACTGGTGTCTTGCCAGTGGGCTGCCGACATATGTTGCTGAAAATGGATTTGTAAGTTCATAGTAAAAGTAAAAACTAAAAGTTTTAGTTCTTGCAGTTCTTCTGATTGAACAAAAACCTCCCAAACCTCCCCACAACCAAAAACCTCTACAAAAATACCATGCTGCTTCCAGTGTCATTGGTTCCCAATGAAATCATATGTATCGGTAGCCTGGATGGAGACAAGGCCTCAGCACAAACAGGCTATATATCCGGAAAATTTCCCTCTGATTGTGGTGATATGGGAGGAATAATGTGTGTGTGTGATGTCACTTTCCAGGTGTGCTAACTCTCACAACAAAATGTCAAAGTAAGAAAATAATCATATACACAGTTCTAAAAATTTTCCTGAGTAGACAATATTCATAATTCAAAGTTGTGATGTATGAGTTATTAATAACCCTATGGCTTTTTTAATAGCGGTAAGGATAGTGTCTTTAGTACTGAGTTATTTCTTTCTATAAACCCCCATGCCATTTTAATCTGGAAGTGATTTTCTTAAAACCGTTATGCTTGTGCACTATATGACATCACATATGAGGGACTTTTCTACAAGCACTCTGGAATGACGTCTGTTAGAATAGCCACATGTAATTTAATAGGAACAGCTTTAACATCTGTAGCTAGCTAGTGTGGTCACCATTGTTAGCTTAGAAAATAAACAGACCTTTTTAAAATATCAGGCCAAGTGTTGGTGCATCTTACATTCCATTTAAACAATGCCTCCTTTTCTTCATGCTGCAGATTTGTAACATGATGAATGCCCCAGCAGATGAGTATTTCACATTTCAGGTAATTCCAGTAATGTTAAAAATTATAGATATTGTAGAAAAACATGTTAATGCTTTCCACCAATTAGTTATGCAGTTGATCACATAAGTAATTTCTCCTTTGTTTGTGATGCATGGGTCTCAGTTACATTGCATATATCAATAGCTGTATTACTAATTTCAAAGAAATATACATACTCAGTTCTTCGGCTTTCCTACAGAAAGGACCAGTGGATGAGACCGGATGGGTTATCAAAAATGTCCTGTCATTGCCCATTGTCAACAAAAAAGAAGAAATCGTAGGAGTTGCGACATTTTACAATAGGAAAGATGGAAAACCTTTTGACGAGTATGATGAACAGATCATTGAAGTAAGCTTAATGGGAGTAGAAGCTTTAAGGAGTAATATGATATTAATAAAAATGTTATTGTAAAAAGTAATTTTAAAATATCTAAAAATTTTCAAGTAGGCTGTCTTAACATCCAACCAAGTGCCTGTCTTCTTCACTATAGTTTCTTAAGGATCAGAAATTTTATTTGCCTTTGTAAACCTGAAAATTTAGGAGAAATTGTTTACATTCTACTAATGAACAAAAGTCAGATATAATTATTTTTTTAATAATTTGACTTTTTAGTGATGATCAGCATCTCCTAATTAGCAGTGGGTAAGCTGATACGACTTGTAACTTGACAATGGATATTGTGGCTGTGATCATGGGAGTTCCCAGAGTGTTCATGATCACATGCAGTTGGGCAAGATGCTGCACAGTGTATTCAAGTCCACTCAGCTAACTTGAGCTTCAGAAGCCTCAAAGTCCTGTATACAAAATCTGAATATGGGCCCTTAACTACTAGGCTGAGACAAACAGTGTCATTAAGAACTGTAAAGTGTTAACAGAACTTGTTGATGGAAGGTGAAGGCCTCTAGTAAGTAGAGTCACACATTGCTTTTCAAAGAATGCTACCAGAAACTGGAGTATAAGAAAAGCATACTCAAACCATTAGTTTAATTTTACTGTCATTGTGTCATCTCCACTTTTCTTGCCTCTGTTCCAGACTCTCACACAGTTTCTGGGGTGGTCTGTTTTAAATACTGACACTTATGACAAAATGAACAAGCTTGAAAACAGGAAAGACATTGCTCAGGAAATGCTTATGTACCAGACAAAGGCCACCCCCTCTGAAGTTGAATCTATACTGGTAAGTTTCTGCCCACAGTCACAAAATTAAAGTAGGAAATTTGCTACATAAAAACTGAATTTCTTACTCACTTTCATTTTTAGAAATACAAGGAGAAATTAAATGTAAATAATATAGAAGAATGTGATCAAAAGGATCTTATCAGGATTTTGGTAAGTCATTAAACTGACAATTTTGGTGGTGTGTTTAAATCAGATAGTGATATGTCTTCATTTTAGAACAAGTTGTGTATAGCCAAATCCTGATTAACACAATTGATTTTAGCTCTCATTTCCACAAGCTGATTTAGTAAATCATCCTCTACCTCTTTGGCTCTTCTATAGGTAGATCCCACTGTTACCTACAGGGAAACACTATGTTCCAAATATGTGCCAACAGACCTGGACAGTGAGAGTATACAGAAACCATTTATATGAATTAACATTTAAAGTGTTCTTTAAATACTTTAAACATTTAAATTTAAACATTAAAAATTTAAATGTCCATGGGAACAGTGCTAAACCTATAACTAAAATTATTGAAAATTTTGAGAATGAAAGAATGGACATTGATATAAGTTCACATTCATTCTGTGTAAGGAAGAACATGTAGGAGTGTCCAGTGGAACTAACCTACTCTCAGCTTAATTTTCCTGCATTTCTTTCTGACAGAGAAGTCCAAAGACTTTATCGCAGTGACTTCACATTGATAAAACAGCTTTGACCTAATAAGTTAGAACTCCACTTCTAGTAAAACAAAAAAGAATGACTTTCTTTTCCAGACTGTGCAGTCCTCTGGCAGCCTTAGTATTTCAATCTAGAAAGGGAGTGTCTTTCTGGAGGAAAATTCCTCTTTGTGCCCAGTTAGTACACTTACTTTTTTCTTGTGGAGCAGTCCTTGAGCAAATGCACTGGCTTACTTTATTTGAAATAAAACTCACAGGTGTGCTCCAGGAAAACACTGAATGAACTCTCACTTTTAATGTATCAAAACAGAGCTAGGCTGTAGAAAGCAGGTCAAATACACACAAATCTGTTGACTTCCAGTAGCAGGCACTTCACATATTTCCTCCTATTATACCACATTTGCTAATGTAGACATAGGCATAGGGAAAAGATCTCACTGAATTATTTTTAGCTACGTACATGTGCATGCTGGAACGCAGTGGTGTTCAGGCTTTACTGGCTGCCACAAAACTAATGCTCACAAAGCTTAACAAGTGGTGAAACCAAAAAACCAAAAGGTGTGCAGCTTCACATACCTTTTATGGTAAATTTCATTTAGCTGCATGAAGAACTGTAAAAATTATTAGCTAAACATTATAAAATCTCTCTACTGGTAGAGCAACAAGGGATTATTATGGTACAGGCTCCAAATGTAAAAACATAGTGATGGTATGAATTTTTATATCTCCCAAAGCAATTAAAATGAGTCCTTTCAACATTATGGAGTTACAAATTCAAAGTTACTAATATCTTCTGTACAGCCAGGGCTACATGCAAATGCTTTATCCTATTATAAAACCTGGAATCCCAGATAGCTAATGGGATAAAGCAGGTGTTTCTAGATCTGATGATTCACAAAGTAATGAGTCTTAAAACACCACTGCTCCAGGTTTCCTTGTCCTTGACCTCAGATCAGAGTAGATAGAACGGAAAATCCTAGGGAGAAGGAAATGCCTTTGGATGTTGTGCATTATTTGTTGAAATACACGCATGCATTCTGTCCTCTTTTTTCTAGAAAATGGAGCTCATTTATAGACTACTATGAAGGAAGGGAGTAATTGTGATCACACAATCTATTTTTAGCATTGTGTAAGACTTCCCTGAATTAAATCTTGTTTGGATTGGGGTGCATTCTTTAAAATATATTAGCTTTCCCTAGGCTTTGGGATATACAGATGAGCAGTGTTATAGAACAGTTCACTAATGTCACTATTAACAGTTAATCGATGTGAATCTATATAATGTATAAAAAATAGGGAATTTAATACAGACTCCTTGGCTTTTGTATCCTCTGCATTTTAGAATTTAGTGTATGTTTCATGGAGGTTCTTTAGTAGAAGGAATAGCTGGCTTAAGCTCTTTATCTGTTCTTCAGGAGAGAAAAATTACCACATGGAATCCAGACAGTCTGGTGAAATTTGGTACATGAGGAAAAGATTATGCACTTAACACCGTCCACTACTTCTGGAATGATCAGTGGTCAGGATTGTTCAGAACAGACTGTCGTAAACTACAGAAAGGGAATTACTAGCACAGAATTGCCACCAGCCACAGTACTAGAAAGTAAATGACACTAAGGAATTTGAAGCCAAAACCACCATGAATAAATACTATATGCTTTGCACATTTAAGCATTTTAACAATTTTTACTTTATGCATATACTGGGATTATTCGAGAGCCAAGCAGTGAAGAATCTGCTGCAAGCAAACGAATGAGAACACTAATAAGATTTGTGATATTTTACAGCTGGTGTTGTAGGATTTCCCAGTCCACTTTCCATGTGCCAAATCAATCATATGGATTTGGGATATCTATTAAGCAAATATAGGCTATCACAGACAAAAAGAGACTGCCACAAGAGGCAGACTAAATTTGAGAGTTGGTTGTAGAGCAGAATAAAACCACCAGCACTCCAGATACTAAAAAAAATGTACAGGAATTTTTGCTTGCCTATAATCTCTCCAAGAGAAGACAAGGCTATGGGCAGGTAGGCACGAAAACAAGGTTTCTGTTATTACAAAAAAAGATGTTGCTGTTCTCCTTTACTCTACCATAAAAATAAAATGTTTTGTTCTAGACAGGTTAGTTTTGCTCACTATATTCGTCATTATTCATAAGATCCAATAGGGAAGAACACTTAATAATTCTGGTTGTGAAAAAGCTGAACTGCAGCCTTCAGGTCAGGCTAAAAGTGAGAGAATCACAGAATTTTATAACAGGAAGGAAAAATTCCAAGGCCTGATATTTCTGAACTAATGAAATGTTGAGGTGGTCACAACAGATTGTGTTAGAATTCAGAGTAGGAAAATAACACCACCTGGTCAAGACTTTTACCTATCATCTTTGAGCAGAAAGGAGCAGTATCAAGATTGTGTTTCATAACTTACTCTACATTAGTGTGTACCAAAACCTGAGGCCTTTGAAGATACAGTAAGCATACTGTCCTTAGGCAACTTTTCGACTGAAGTCAGAAAAGAAAATCTGAAGGTTTTTCTAACTGTTTTCTTGCCAGAAAAAAACATTGTGTTTTTGACTTTTCAGAAGGAAGAATTACCTGATCCAAAGGATTTGGAACTGTATGAATTCCGTTTCAGTGATTTCCCTGTTACAGAGCATGGCCTGATAACTTGTGGAATACGACTGTTCTTTGAGATAAATGTTGTTGAAAAGTTCAAAGTCCCAGCTGAGGTCTGATTTATTTTGTCTTGTTTATATTTATTTTAAGATAAAAGAAAAATAGATGACTGTAGGTGTTTTAATATAGAAGTAGTCAGTACTAGAATATTACTGGTATAGATATCGATCTTCCATTCTTAATTAAACATTTGCATATTTTCATGAGGACTTAAAACTAATCTTAAAAATGTGTGAGGCATAGAAGGAATTAAATCAAGGGGCATTTACTTAAGAAAAAATTGCTATTTCTGTGTTTAATTCAATAAAAAGCCATTATTTTCATAGAATTTTATTATTATTACAGTAATTTTGTAATATATTCCAATAATTTTATGGCCATCCCATCATTTTGTTTCAACTAATGGCAAAGTATTCATTTTGTTCATAATAGGTCCTTACAAGATGGATGTACACAGTCAGGAAGGGTTACCGAGATATCACTTACCATAACTGGCGACATGGATTCAATGTGGGACAAACCATGTTTACTCTGCTAATGGTAATATTGCTAGTATTAACCTTACATTCATTAGTTTTCCTTTCAGTTCCAGCTGGAAAATTCAAGAATGTACACATTCTAAATTATCTGTTTTTCTTTTACAGACAGGCAAAATAAAGAAATACTATACTGATCTAGAAGCCTTTGCCATGGTTGCTGCTGCTTTCTGCCATGATATTGATCACAGAGGGACTAACAACTTGTATCAAATGAAGTAAGTGCAAATATTCAAATATACAGAAATGCAGTATTTTTATTGGCAAATGAAAAACAAAAACAAAACCCTCAACCAAACCATGTCAGAACTCACAAAAATCTAAGATATATATTCCATACTCATCTGGCATGATTAAACATTTATCCTACTGAAGATTTCTGCCTCAGAGCATTCGCCATTACAGCTGAAAAAGAAAGACAAAATGCAAAAGCAGAATCTTAGAAGGGATCTGCAATTCATTTTTAAGAGAGACTAAGGTCTAGCAATGCTTGGATTGTAGCAGAGCCTCATGCACATCAGGCCACAAAGAAATAAGAGAAGTAAATCAAAATCCCTAACTGGATTATTTTTTTTCAAGCCAGGGCATAAGCATTTTTCTGAAGAGGGAATCAGGATGTGGCATAAACAAGGGCCAGTTTAGAGTGAGACAGGTTTTAAGATGCATTCTTTTTCTCTGCTTTTTCTACTGTCTGATTTGACTAGCTCAGTTGTCTGTGCCATTCCCCCCCCCCAGTTTACTTATTGATGTATGTCCTTCCTCGAGGTGTAAGCATCTTGTGTTATACAGGATTCTCAGCTAAAGAGCTTTGTTCTGCCACTGAGTCCACACACCATTAAGTTACGCATCACGAGGTTAAGGTTTGCTGTTCATGCTCATTTTTGTTCTCAGCAAATATTCTAAAGGATTTCTTTGTGATTTTCCCCCCTTGTTTCTTACGAAATACTAACTAATAGATGCTTGTTATAAAACAATATTAATTAATTTTGGTTTAAACTTACCTTTTTATTACAACTTTACATCATGGTGAGACCCACTCTTCTTCTGAAGAGTGAACAATCTACTCTTTAGCCTTATGTTCTGTTAGGGCTTGTTTCTATGTGCTAGCTGGAGAACTGAGTTTTTGCTGAATGTCACGTGTACCAGAAGATTATAACTGTAATTTTCTGAGTACAGTTTCCACTAACTGCATCTCCAGAATGATTCATCCTCCTCCTCTGACCCTGGATACACTCCTCCCAGGAGAGGCGTTTCAGCCTGCATGCTAGAGCAGTGACACGAGGGGATTTTCTGATTATTCTCAGGGATTCTCCAGGTGACGTAGGAGACAGAGAATGAGACACTGATTCTTATTCAGCAGACTGCCTCTCATACAAACAAGTTTAAGGGGGGATTTAAATCTTCCTGCTGTGGTGTTCCCTAGCTGAAAGCCCTCTACACGAGGTCATACGCAGTAAGGCTATTTATAAAAGTTATCAGGCTTTACTACGACAGTCCTAATCACAAGTCAGAAAATACAGGTAGCATGTAGCAATCCGCCTTGGGTTATCTGAGGAACAGAGTTATTAGCCACAGGAAGAAAGGAGCAAAACACACTTCTCAACATGCAGAACCCCCTGGAGCCTACGTAGATAGGATACTTACATCTTCCTCCCACTACCATGGTCTGACGCAGAATTTTCTCTTAGCCCAAAGTCAGAGCAATGGTTTGAGCTCTGTGGTAAGTCTGAACACACCTGAGCTGTCAGAACTTGTGCCATCCATAAAATGGTGATTTTAGGGAAAGGGAGGAGACCAAGGGCATTAGAGGAATTAAATTCCATTATACTGTTACTTTAGATTTACCTTACAGGAAACTAGAATCACAGGGGACATGGCCCACAAACATTACAGAGAGTTCAAAAGCTGTGCCAAAGAACAAATACCAAAATGGATAGAGGCTACTTTTAAAGTACACAGAAGGTGTGTAGATTAAACAAACAGCAAAACTGAACATGCAAGATGAAATAGAGGCATGTTTTAAAAATTACAGGTTTTGAGGCATACCACACCTTTGATTTCAGTGGACACTGAACATGCAGGGCTCTCCAATTTCCATCATTACTCAGTCACAGAGTGAAGAGAGAGTGAAGACAAGCAAGTGGGGTTTTTTTTCTCTGCATCATACCAATGGTTAAGATATATAAACTATTGAACATGAAGTATTATAAACCAAGAAATCTGAATCGTGAATCAAAAATGTTGCCTGTAAAACACTGTAAAGAATTGCTTCTTTATCAACAGGTCAGCTGCTCCGCTGGCAAAACTTCATGGCTCTTCCATTTTAGAAAGGCATCACCTAGAGTACAGTAAAACTCTGCTGCAAGATGAGGTATGTCTGCATGAACCTCCTGCTCACACTGATCAACACAAAAGATCCAATTAAGTTATGATGTTCCAAATTTTACCACGACTTATTCATCCCTCTAGGTCCAGATTAAGAAATTATGCTAAAATTTGAAGTTTAAGCCAAATTCTTATGCATCGTCCACTCTTAGACAAACATCAGTAATTCCACCAGAAATAGACTCAAGATAGAAATGCTTTTCTCTGGGCCTCACTCCTCAGGTTCCTTCCACCTTTACAAAACAATTGATGTTAAAACCAAAGCAGAAAATCCAATCCATACGTACAAAACGTTGTCATTAAACCACTATCCCCAGTTCATGAGGTCTGAGGTCAGCTGCTGGCGCTGGCAGCTGAGGAGCACAGGGATAGAGCTGTCTATGGGAGGCTCCCTTTACCCTCAGGTCAGACCCTCCACAGAGCTGACCTCGTTAAGGTATCACGAGGGTCTGCTGCAGCTCCCATCACCCAGCTTCCCTGAACCAGGCAGGCGTCCTCAGCTGCCTCACCGCAGCCTCCTCAGGCTCAACAAAATGGCAGCAGCACAGCCCGCCAGGCCCTCTGCCCCCAGAGCCCTGATCCTGCAGGGGGAGTCAGCCATGCTTCCCTCAGCGGCACCTGCCTCTGTCCTGGCTACAAGGGAAGAGACGATTTACAACTCTTTACTACATGTTTTGTGAGGAAATAGGAGGTTTAACAGGCAAGGCTGGAACACGTTTGCCACTTCCATCCCACTTGTTTGCAGCAGCTTGGCAGGCAGCCATTTCCACCCTCATTTTTCATTTCCTAATCCCTGTGGTGTTGCTACTTCCTGACCCCATGAGGCTGCAGAATAAATCCTTACACTAACCAGCAGCACAATGATCATAAACCCCCAGAAGATTTATAATTTGAAACAACCCAAACCGTCTTTATCTTTATTGACGGCAATGTATGTTTTCAAATGTGATGGCAGGGACTAACTCCTGCTCTTTGCACGAGCAGTTGTCAGGACCTCTGGAGGCTTTTAACAGTGGCATTGCTGTGCTCCATGCTCTCCCATTCATTGTCCCTTAGTTAAAGAAGGAAGGAAAACCAGGACACTGAGAAAAAGTACTGTGCGGTGCCCTCATTCCCTTGGCCTGAGGAGAAGGACACTGCACTTACTATACTAGACCCCTAATACCACTGCAGGCAATTATGCCAGCCCAGGATAACAGGAGGAAAAGGTTTCTACTGTGAAGCTTTAAAAAGTCTAGGAAAAAAAGTCGAGGTTTATGGAATGTGAACTGTAAAGAAATTATGAAGAACTGCCATTTCTTTACTACTTACACAGAATACAGGTGGTGTTCTTGGTTTTAGTTTGTATTTGGCAGCAGCAGGACTGAGTCACTGTGGATTTATTTATCCGTGCTGCCTCTGGGGGCAGCATCATAGATCCACCTACCGAGCACACAGTTAAGTTAGAATTTATTAGCCATGAATAAGGGCCATCTTCACCAACAGACTGATTTTTCATTTGTAGTATTATTTTAATTTAGGGAATGCAGTTGGCCAATTTTGTTACACTATTCCACAAGACAACTAGTGCAAACCAAAGACAGTGTTATAAAAGGAACTGAATCAGTAAACTTTCCATCTTGCAGAGTTTAAACATCTTCCAGAACCTGAATAAGCGCCAGTTTGAAACCGTTCTACACTTATTTGAAGTTGCAATAATAGCAACTGACTTGGCTTTGTATTTCAAGTAAGTGCAAAATTCTGTACAATCTCCTACTGAAAAAAATTCAATCCTATAGAATTTATAACTGTAGTTCTTAGTTATTTATATGTAGAGTACAGAGCTATATTTAATATTGTTACTAAGTCTAATTCTTGTAAAAAGCCAAGATATTCTTAGATTCATTGTAAGCTTTCAAATTAGAGAAAGCATAAATGTATATAATACTTAGTATACATTTAGAAGGTCATTCAAATATGCTTTTAGTTATAGAAAATACTGTATTTCACAAGTGTGGATTCTGTAGCTTAACTGTGCCTGTGTGATATTTAGCATACCATACTACAATTACTCATACTAAAGAGGAGTATGCTTATGAGATGGAAATTGAGATGCTGGTTTAAAAACAAAACTGCAGACATCAACTGATCCCAGTGCTAATGATGCCAAAACCTCCAAATATCAAATCATCCACCCTATTCCTAAGTTACTGACTTAATATAACGGGTTTTATAATGGGTATTTTCCTTAGAAGTATTTGGAGCATTTTGTTTTGTTCTAATTGTCTTATGACTGAGACAATTTAAACTCAGGAGACAGGAAACAATTCAGTAAGTTATTCAACAAGAGTTATTAAATTTGAATGAAGAGTAATTCCATTATTTAATTAATTCTAAATCCAAGTCAGAAGATCTATTATAGAATCACAGAATCATAGAATAGCTAGTGTTGGAAAGGACCTTAAGATCATCATTAAGCAATAGCAAGACACATGTTTTTAAAAGTTCTTCTCAGCCAGGTCTTAGCACTTCTTTGGATTTTTGAGGTGAGGAAGTGGAAGAACATTTTTTTAGTATTTGCTTCACTCTTCCCAATTCATTATGTTAGAGGAAGCAACAAACATGTAATACTAAAGAAATATGAATGTCATAGAATCATGGAATAGTTAGGGTTGG